AGGGGCGATTGGAGTAGCAGCTGTCGTTCACACCCACTGCTGGCACCTTCAGCGGGTGTGAGCGGGGCCGGTGCGTGGGAGCCGTGGTGGCAGGAGTGGGGCTGCTGGCAGACAGGGAACTGGGGGCCCTGTGGTGGGAGGGGACAGGCGGGGGCACGGAGGATGGGCCAAGACCTGCCCCTGTGCCCACCACAGCCTCGTGGCCCACAGTTCCTTTCAAGGTGCACGAATTTGTGCACTGGGCCCCTAGTAAAAATATAAAAAGGATCAACCAGTGAGTGTATGGTGGGTGGAGCAACAAACCAATGTTTCTTTTTCCCTCTCTCTTTAAAATCAATAAATAAACATTGTATATAAAAGATTCTATATATAAATGAGATCATAAACTATTTTTTTCTCTGCCTACCTATATTTTACTTAGTATAATGCACTCAAGGTCCAACCAATGCTCTAACCAACTGAGCTGTTTGTTGCCTCAAATAGCAAGATTTCCTTATTTTTTTTATGGCTGAATAATATTACAGTTTGTGTGTATATGTGTGTATATATTCACATCTTTACCCATTCATTCATTGATGAACACTTAGGTTGCTTCTGTCTTGGCAATTGTAAATAATGCTGCAGTAAACATGGGAGTACAGATGTCTTTTCAAATTATAGTTTTTTCATTTTCTTTGGGTAAATACCCAGAAGTAGAATTGTTGGATCATATCATATGGTAGTCCTATTTTTAATCTCTTGAGGAAACGCCATACTGTTTTCCATAGTTGCTGTACCAATTTACCTTCTCATCAATAATAAACAAAGGTTCCCTTTTCTCCATATCCTCACCAACACTTCTTGACTTTTTTTCTATTTTTTATTTATTGATTTTAGAGATAGAGAGGGAAAGAGAGAAAAAAAGAGAAACATCTATTTGTTGTTCCATTTACTTAAGCATTCATTGGTTGATTCTTGTATGTGCTCTGACTGGGGATTGAACCCACAACCTTGGTGTATTGGGACAATGCTCTAACCAACTGAGCTACCTGGCCAGGGCCCTTCTTGACTTTTTTTCTAAAAATTTTTTTGTTGATTTTTTACAGAGAGGAAGAGAGAGGGATAGAGAGTTAGAAACATCAATGAGAGAGAAACATCGATCAGCTGCCTCCTGCACACCCCCCACTGGGGATGTGCCCGCAACTCAGGTACATGCCCTTGACCGGAATCGAACCCGGGACCCTTCAGTCCGCAGACTGACGCTCCATCCACTGAGCCAAACGGGTTAGGGCCTTTCTTGACTTTTTGATGGTAGTCATTCTAACAGGTATGAGGTGATATTGTGGTTTTTATTTGTATGACTAGAGGCCCGGTACATGAAATTTGTGCACTGGGGGGGTGGTTGTCACTCAGCCCAGCCTGCACCCTCTCCAATTTGGGACCCCTCGGGGGATGTCTGACTGCTGGTTTAGGCTCGATCCCACATCGGGCCTAAACTGGCAGTTGAACTGCTGGCCCCCAACTGCTCACCTGCCTGCCTGCCTTATTGCCCCTAACCACTTCTGCCTGCCAGCCTGATCACCCCCTAACCACTCCCCTGCCAGCCTGATTGACGCCTAATTGCTCCCCTGCTGGCCCGATCGCCCCCAACTGCCCTCCCCTGCCGACCCGATCGCCCCCAACTGCCCTCCCCTGCCAACCCAGTCGCCCCCAACTGCCCTCCCCTGCCGGCCTGGTCAACCCCAACTGCCCTCCCCTGCCGGCCTGGTCAACCCCAACTGCCCTCCCCTGCCGGCCATCTTGTGGCTGTGGGCGCCGCCATCTTTGAGGGTGTGGCAGTCAATTAGCATATTCCCTCCTTACTGGCTGTGGGCGCTGCCATCTTTGTAGCTTGCTGCTCAGTCGTTTGGTCGTCCCTCACTAACCCCTGTGCCGGCCTGGTCACCCCACGCAGCCTGTTCAGTTGTCCATTCAGTTGCGATGGTTGCTTAGGCTTTTATATATATAGATTAGTGATGTTGAGCATCTTTTCATATACCTATTGGTCATTTATATGTCTTCTTTGGAAAAATGTCTATTTAGATCTTCTGCCCATTTTTAAACTGGATTGTTTGTATGCATTCTTTATATATTTTGAATATTAACCCCTTATCAGATATATAATTTTTCCCAGTCAGTAATTGCCTTTTCATTTTGTTGATTGTTTCTTTTGCTGTGCAGAAGCCTTTTAGTTTGATATAGTCCCACTTATTTTTGCTTTTGTGGCCTTTGCTTTTGGTGTCAGATTCGCTTTTAGTTCTTTAGGGCAGTTTTACTTTAATATCTCAGTAGTACCTGCTTAATACAGTGCTCCACAAATGTTATCTGGATTCCAGCCCAAGATCAGAAAAGAAAATTGACAGGTGGGTGGGAGGGGAATTGCTGCTGGGGAGAGGGCTTACGGGACCAGGAAATGACGCATGGTTATCTGATGGAAAATCTATGAAAGTAGGCAAAATTTTGCCCATCAGTTGGCAAGAATTTTTTTTTTTAATTAAAATATCCAGGAGAGCCTGGCCAGTGTGGTTCAGTGGTTGAGCATCAACCCATGAACCAGGAGGTCATGGTTTAATTCCCAGTCAGGGCACATGCCCAGGTTTCAGGCTCAGTCCCCAGCAGGGGGTGTGCAGGAGGCAGCCGATCAATGTTTCTCTCTCATTGATGTTTCTATCTCTCTATTCCTCTCCCTTCCTCTCTCTAAAATCAATTAAAAAAAAAATTTAAAAAATTTAAATTTAAAGTTGTTAAAATACAGAAGTTGACCCATTAATTCTACTTACTCTAAATAAATTGAGAGAAATAGTAATAAAAATATTAATATTAGAGAGAGTGGAAGGGAGGAAGGCAGGGGGAGAAATAGCTAGCTAGCTAGATAAACATGGATGTGAGAGAGCCACATCAATTGGCTGCCTCCCACACGTGCCTACTGGGGCCATCAGGGATCAAATCTGCAACCCAGGTATGTGCCCTTCACCGGGAATTGAACCTGCAACCCTTCGGTGCATGGGGTCATGCTCTAAGCACCACTTAGCAAATAGGCCGGGCTCATTGGTTGAATCTTATATGTGCCCTGACAGGGGATCAAACCCAAAACCTTGGGGCATAGAGATGACGCTCTCACCAGCTGAGCACCCAGCCACAGAGGTAACTACCTTTATTTCTGACAGAGAATCAATTAAATTATGGTGCAATCATTCTATGGAATTATGCATGACCATTATAAATTATAATTTCAAAGAATATTTAATGCTTATGTGTTAAATGAAAAATGCAGGTTACAATACGATGCTAATTTATAAAATAGGTACTCCTGTAATCACGTTAGCTTTTCCTCCTTGCATCAGTGACCTCGTGGCCTTAAAGAAGGCTGCTGCAGCTTCTGCTACTTCTGCTGCAGAGGAAAGGGGGCCATGAGGGCTCTCTTCTGTTGATACTCCACTTCCCAGCTGACTTCCTCTTGCATCTTGTTGGTCCTGGCTGGGTCACAGAGCCAGTTGCAGGGGAAGCTGGGAAAGTGACTGTATAGCAAAAATAATTGTGATTAATCCCTTGGAGCTGGCACACTGTCACAAGGAATGCTCTGGGTTTTTCTGTATATAGAGGAGGGGGAATGGCTATTGGCTAGACTGGTTGCTACTTAACAGCACAGTTAGGGCCAATAAAGCCACATTCTAAGAGGGTAGTATTTATATTATAGTGCACCCACATGCAACTGTATCTGCCTTTCTCTGGAACAGGAGGGCATCACATATGCCAGTGCGGAAGGCCAGCTGTTTGAGAAATAACAGTACAGTTAATTCCTGTGATTAATGACCCTTAGTTTGTTTAATCTTTATAAATATAAATGCAACAACGTATTTAACATTGTATTTAATATGTAGGTCAATACTCCCTCCCTTATGTGTCCTGAACTTGAGAAAGCTGGGAGAGTAGGGACCCTCTGGAATGGGAGAGTTTGTGCCATGTCCTCTCGTTTTCTGGAAATGTTTATTACTTGGTGATGAACTAGGCCAAAGGTGCTTCTTAAAATCACACACTGCCAGATCATCGGTTGTACTAGCTGCAGCCAGCTAGAACAGGAGGCCTTGGGCCACATGCCCAGTACTGAATATAAGACAGAGTCCTTAGAAATACAAGTTCGTCTGTCCTGTTTTGGGGGTTCCCCCTTAGTTTCTGGGTCAGGGAAGGGCACAAGGCCAGCATTGGGATTCTCTTACATTAAATGAGAAGGGAGCAGAATGCCAGGACCAGTAACGACTACAAAGAAGTTACTAAAAAATAACACGGAGGCTGAGCTAGTAGATGGCATGGAGTCTAAGCAGCTTTTGCTGGGCAGGTGCAGTCGAACTTGTGGAACTGAGTTTAGTTCTTTGCGCACCCCCCACCCCCACCGAGCCTTTCCTCTCCTCCCAGTGGACAGCATCCTTCCAGAGATGAAATCTTCCTATTGCAGCGACCGTTTCAGTAGTTCATTCTTCCTCCATCTCATGCTCCTTCCACGTGGGTGGCAGAGCAGATGGAGCACAGCCACTACAGCTTGCATTCCAGGAAGGGTTCCGAAAGCAGAGGTCAAGGCGAGCAGATCTGAACGGGTAGAAATTACTCATCTCGCTGCCCATCGGCTGGGCTGAAGTCTTTTGGTTATAGGGAAACATACCACTGGGACACTGTGAGCCTGTGCTGAGGCAGAGCACCCAGGCTCAAGGGTTTGGGAACCCCCTTCCTGGAAAGCCCATGAGACAATGGTCAGCAGACAAGTTGGGTGGGTAGCACACTGCATCACAGTGACGGGAATGAATCTTCAGAAACGCAGCAGCAGCTACTACAGGCAGGCCCCCTGACCATTCTCAACAGAAACATTCTTGTGGCTGCAACCACAGTAGGTTCTGACCAGTAAGTAGACTCGAATAAAGGCTTTTGACACTTGGAATAAGCATCTAACTTCTAACTGGTAGGCTGGCTTCCCTGTAAAGAGCCACAGCTGGGTTGAATATAAATGTTTAATGTAAGATACAGTGAGTTGGCAGAGCTGGTGCAAAATGACGAGATTCAATTCTAGTCAGAGAGTCAACAGCCTAGGCATCCAGGAAAAAAATTGGCCCTGCTGTTCTGAGGCCTCCAAGGCCCCCTGCTAGAGGCTCCCAGAGTGCCACCTGCTACCTGAAGGCTCGGGTAGAATCCAAGTGTCCCCAGTTCCCAAGTGGAGTCAGGAGACTGGCTGGCCCCCGTCAGTAGCAGGTGTCGTTTTCGGGACAGGCTTGAGGGACGTGGGGACAGAAATGCACGGGGGACTGGGCTGCTCTACATTCGCTACATGCAGGGGTCCAAGAGGCTCAGAGCTTGAGAGGTCAGCCGACCCACTTCCCTGCCCATGTGTTTTCCCTCCCTGCTGACAACAGGGAAGAAGATGACCATTCAATTGAAAGGTCTTTCTGAAAATGTATTTGGCATAAGCTAATGCCACTGCTAGTGCTGCCAGTGGCCAGGCACAGGTACAGAAGGCCCTGAGGAGCTGGGCGGAAAGGAGACTTTGCAGGCAGAGCAGGAAATAGCCAGCTCAGGTCCCTGCCTCAGGAGCCCAGAAGGATAAAGGCCGTGCAGTAAAGAAAGGGTAACATATGGTTCCCCTCTTTGGTCAGGCAAAGGCCCTGGCAAGGGCCTGGGAGGTAAGAGGGCCGAGGGGCACAGGCTCTGCCTCAGGCCCTAGCTTTTGGCTCGTCACATCGAGGCGGTGATGCGGCAGGAGGCAAGGCAGAGAGACCGCAGTGAGGCTGTTAATCCCCTGCTCCTAGGAGCTGCCTTTGTCCTTGTCATCCAGGAGGTCATACCTGTGGGAGCAAGCAGAGAATACTCAGGCATAAGTTGACTCATGTTCTGGCCAGTGTTGCCCAGTGGCCGGAGCATTGGCCCATGCACTATCATGAAGGGTCTCGGGTTCAATTTCTGGTCAAGGGCTCACGCCTGAGTTGCAGGTTTGATCCCCTGCCCCAGTTGGGGCATGTGTGGGAGGCAGCAGACTGATGTGTCTCTCTCACATCGATGTTTCTCTCTCTACCTCTCTCTCCCTCTCCCATCCTCCTTTCCACTCTCTCTACAAAAAAATCAATGGAAAAAATATCCTCAGGTGAAGATTAACAAAACAAAATAAATAAAGTTGACTCTTGTGTCTTAGAAATGAGACAGGATCTCAGAGCTTTTATACTTCAGAGGACCAATGGTTCTCAGCTCAGTTTGCATCCTTTTTTCCCGTCCTGTTTGGGATTTCTCCTACTTAATATCTAGGCCCATCCCCCAACCGTCAGATACTCACCACTGGGCCGCACCCTGGGATAGGTCTGTCTCAGCGAGGTCCAACTGCACCTGTGTTGGAGGATGGTCAAGGCAAGAAGTTATTCTGACAGCTCCAAAGGCTACATCCCATCGTCACACTTCCTGGTCCCAAACCAGTGCAGAGGTGATTGGGTGACCTATCAAGTAATGTCACTTGGCGTGCTTCCTCCCTAGCAGGGACTACAGCCTTGGTACCAGCAGCTTCTCTCACCTTTGCCCTGCCCACGCTCACTCTCTTACCCAGGGGTCCTCAAACTACAGCCCGCAGGCCACATGCAAATACAAATATTGTATTTGTTCCCGTTTTGTTTTTTTACTTCAAAATAAGATATGTGCAGAGTGCATAGGAATTTGTTCATAGTTTTTTTTAAACTATAGTCCGGCCCTCCAACGGTCTGAGGGACAGTGAACTGGCCCCCTGTTTAAAAAGTTTGAGGACCCCTGCTCTTACCTTTCCCAGCAGCTCACGCTCTCTTGACATGAAGGAAGAATTAGACTTCACAGAGACATCCAGCTTTCGCCGGAGGGCCTCATCCAGGGGCAGTTCCCATTCGAACCTGGGGAGGGACTGGGTATGAGGGCAGGTGTCCTTCTCGAGCCTGCCATCTCTCCACCTGACTGCCCACTGACCGTTCATTGAATTCAGGATTTAGGGTCCTCTTCTTCTGTGAGGTCTTCCTCTTGGTGCCCCGGTTCTTGTCTGGGTGTAGCAACAGTGACACATAGGGGTCAGGGGGATCCCGTCCATTCTGTCGAAGGGACCTGCAACAGGAGGATCAAGGTGATGAGGCAACACAAGGGGGGGACGGAGAGAACTTGGAGGATCTGACGGATGGGGTCTCACCGGCAACTGTGAACGATGCTGATCAGCTTTCGTTCTTCACTGTAGTACCAAACAGTTAGCTTCACCTGGCCCAGAGGCCCGGCTGGAGCCTCGAGGGGACTGTGGAGAGATGGACACAGGTCTGGGAGAAGGCAGTGCCCAGGGAACCTGTCGCTCACCCTTTCTATTCCTGATGCATCCCATCGTCCCACCCCAGCCCTTCACCTGTCACCGTGGGTCAGGCGCTGCCGGAGCTCTGGGGCTGAGGAGGTGGTGTGAGGCAGGCCCCCCCAGGGCTCCAGTTCTTCACTCACAGATGAGGAGCTGTAGCTATGGCTGTGGCTATGAGCTTCCACTCCGGAGTGCTGGGACACCAGGATCTAGGAGGTCAAGAAAGCTGTGAGCTGGGCAGAGTTCTGCTCCACTCACTTGCTATGATGATGCAGCCCTCTGTTCCCGCCCACCCTCCCCTTCCTGCCCACCGTTGCCTGGCACTCACCCCCAGCTGTGCTCTCAGTAGCACCTGCCCTTGACCATTGTTGAGTGTAAACCAGCGGTCCACGCACAGCTGGTCAGCCCCAAGGAGCTCCGAGAGCGGCAGGGATAATGAGCCCAATGCACCAGTCCCCTCACCCCGAACCTGTGGAGCAACAGCACTGTGATCAGAAGATGAAGATTAAATCCGAGGGTTCCAGGCCCAGACGCTTGCACTCGGGTGGTTTTGGTGAGAGACTCCCTTTTGTGAAGGGCAAGGAAGCCCTGGTAACAGCTGTAGGTCCCTCTACCTCCCTGCCTTTCTTAACCAGAGTAGATGATACGATCTTTACTTCCTAAGCTTTTACACACTATACCAGTAATACCTGCACAGGGAGGAGGAAAGAACAGCAACAACTGAATTAAAATTAAAGTAAATGTTTTCTGCCCATCCTACCCCTATTTTCATACTCCAAATATTAACAACATTCAAAACCTCCCAGTTTCCTTTGTTTGAACATAATTTAATTAATATGCCTGTATCTCTACTTCATGATTTGCCAACTTTGGTATCCACCGATTCCCTGCTGTGTAAGATGAGGAACTGAGCTCATCTACATCTCTACCTCTGCTCGTGTTGTGAATAGTTACAATATTTTCCTATCAACTTTCGAAGGTATCTGATTGCTCCATGAGGAGGGAGTCAGCGCTCCTATATTACCTTCCCCCTTCCCTGGCCCCACCCCCCATTCCTCTTCACATTTGTTCACCCTTCACCCCACTGATGCCTAGTTTCCACTCCATTTATCCCACTGAAGTTGCTGCAATAATCAGTGACTTCCTAGTTCTCAAAGTCAATGAATACTTTTCCGTGATCTAATTTTACCTCTGAGCAACATCTGGCCACTTCCTGTCTTTTGAAACACTCCTCTTTTGGTCTCTGTAACCCACTCTTTCCTGGTGAGTGTCCCACTGCCCTGGCTACACTTCAGGCCCTTTGAAGAGCTCTGACTCCTCCATCTGCCCTTTCGTTGCTGCAGTGCCCGGCATGCCCATCCCTGGTCTTTTCATATACACCTTACGGTGCCCTCACACTCATGATGGCAGTGGCCACCTGTTGCTTGCTCATGATGCTCAAAGAAGGAGGAAAGGGAAGAACATCAGAACAGGCCATAGATGGACCTTCTGGATGGCTCTCTGAGATCTCAAATTAAAAACTCCTCCTTTGTGCACTCACTATGTTGTCAATGGCACCTTTACCCGTCCAGCCACCCATGCTAAAAAGCCAGGAGTTAGCATCGAGGCTGTACCTTGCTCCTCCCTCCCCCTCCATGTCAAAACAACCCACCAGATACCATCTGGCCTCTGTCATTTCTTGCTTCAGTTTACTCTAATTTCTTAACCCGATCTACCTGTCTCCAGGGTTGTCCATTCTTTTATCCTGGCTCCTCACGTACAAACCTGGAAATGTCAACCTC